TAGTGTTACAAATCTCTTCCCGATCCATTACATCAGGTTCAAGGGAAAATACCAAAAAATCACCCTCATAAATATTCACGCACCTTCAGAAGAAAAAGATAATGACGTTAAAGAATGTTTCTACAATGAATTAAACAGAACAATCGAAAATATACCCAGATATGATATGAAAATTATTCTAGGCGACGCAGATGCCAAAATAGGGAAGGAAGAAGTATTTAGACCGACAATAGGAAAATATAGTAAACACAATGAAACTAATGAGAACGGACAATTCCTGATAGATTTCGCAAGAGAAAAAAATATGATCATAATGAGCACATATTTCGAAAGAAAAGAAATACACAAGGAAACATGGATATCGCCAGATAGAAAGACTAAAAACTAAATAGACCACGTGCTCAACGAAAAAGAGGAACAGCAATGTATAAAGAAGATAAGAACATACAGAGGACCAGACGCTGACTCAGATTACTACATGGTGGGTATCAAAATTAAGCAACTGATACCAGAAAACCAAAACAAAATAAATAAAAAGAAATGTATACATAACCCAATTCGATTAGCAACAAAAAAAGAGCAAGAAATATACGAGGAAACAATGGAAAGCGAACTAAAAAAGATACAAATAGAAGAGCAAACTGAGAACAAATGGGAAAACATAAAGCAAATAATGAACAAAGCAGCAAAAGAATGTGATAAACAAGAGAATAAAAAGATGAAAGACTGGTTCGACATAGAGTGCCAAAAAGAAATAGAACTAAGAAAATCATTAAGGATGGAAATGATCACGAAAGAAACAATAGAGACAAAGAATAGATATAGGGAGCAAAGACAAAAAGTAAAGAGGGTGCTGAGAGAAAAGAAGAGAAAACACATAGAAAATAAGCTAAAAGAAATAGAAGAGAATTACAGAAATAAAAAAATAAAAAACCTGTATCAAGGTGCTAGAAATGAAAAAAAAGGTTTCCAATAAAAACCCATATTCGTTAAAAACAAAGCAGGAAATAATATAAGCGGGGAAGCAGAAATAGTCGAAAGATGGAAAGAGTATTTTGATGAATTACTAAATGGTAATAATAAATCAAACCAAAGAGAATATATGCAAGCAGAAGCAAGAATTGAACACATAGACGACATAGAAGATAATTCACCCAGCAAAAAACAAATCGAGGAAATCATAAAAAATCTGAAAAACAACAAATCCCCTGGAAGTGATAACATAACAGCAGAGATGATGAAATATGGTGGAAAACTGCTAAATAATTGGATATGCAAGATCATAAAAGAGATATGGATAAAAGAACGAATACCAGAAGATTGGAAGGAAGCCATTATTTGTCCATTACACAAAAAAGGAGACAAAACAGAATGCAGTAATTACAGAGGAGTAGTGTTACTAAATACCATATATAAAATCTTATCAAAATCGATAAAAGATAAGCTGGAAAAAGAAGCTGAAAATATAATAGGCGAATACCAGTGTGGATTTAGACGAGGGAGAAGCACAACGGACCAAGTATTCATAATAAGAGAGTTACAAGCAGAAAGCTATGAACACAACTTACCAACGATAGCGCTATTCATCGACTTCCAGCAAGCATACGACAGAATAAAAAGGAAGGAATTAAAAGAGACCCTTGAGGAATTGGGAGTTAGCAGAAAGTTGCGTAACATGATACATCTTACTTTAGAGAATACAGAAAACAGAGTCAAAGTCAACAATCATGCATCGGACAAATTTATAGTAAAAGAAGGATTAAGGCAGGGCGATCCTTTGTCATCATTACTCTTCAATTTATGCCTAGAAAAAATAATGCGAGAAGCGAGAATTAATAGAGGAAGACTCCTATATCATAAAAGACACCAAGTTTTGGCATTTGCGGATGATATAGTGTTGCTGGCAAGAGGAAAAAAAGAGCTACAGGAGATAGTACAGAGAATAGTAAAAGCAGCAAAGAAAATGGGACTTTACATAAATGAAACTAAAACAAAATGTATGCAGTGGACAGATGATCAGTTTAGGGATGGATAAAAGTTTAAAGTAGAAGTAGAAGAAAGATTATCATACGAATTCGAAATGGTGGAAAGATTTACATACCTAGGTACAATAATATCACGTAAACATAACATTAAAGAAGAAATACAAGCTAGAATAATAGCAGGCAATAGAAGTGTACATGCTCTTAGTGGAATGTTGAAAAGCAAGTTTTTATCAAGAAAGGCAAAAATACAGTTATACAAAACAACTATACAACCAATAGCAACATACTGCAGTAAGACGTGGACAATGACAAAAAATGAACAAAATCTACTGGAGATATGGGAAAGGAAAATCTTGAGGAAGATATATAGAGGAATAATAAGGGACGGTTTATGGATAAGAAGATCAAATGATGAATTAAAGAAATTATATAATCAACCTAACATAATAGGAGTCATAAAGGCACAGAGACTAAGATGGCGAGGTCACCTAGAAAGGATGCCAAACACGAGGACTCCAAAAAGGGTACTAAACTACAATATAACTTCAAAAAAGAGAAAAGGAAGGCCAAAAAATAGATGGAATCAGGAGGTAGAAAAAGATATGGAAGAAATTGGACTAGACGGCCAGAAAAGAAAAATGAATAACAAGAAGGAATGGAGAAAAGTCACATATCGAGCCAGAGAAGATCTCAGTACATAAAGGAAAGCGAAAATGAAGAAAGAACAAAATTCTTTAAGCCATGGGCCTCTAAGGCCTTTAGTGCTATTGTATATATATATATATATATATATATATATATTATATATATATATATATATATATATATATTACTACAAATACATGATGGGGTCGAATACTTGATACAATTCATATCAAGAATTACAAAGAGATTGAATAATGTTTTATATACGTTTAACACTGTTAACATCACAAACACTTCACTAAACACTTAATTCTATTTTATTAGACAATCTTCATTGTTGACAAAACAAAACACATGATAAATATAATCATTGTGGGATAATATATCAATTATTAATTTGACATCATGTTTTGAGCAGCGGTTGAATGTTTGAGTCCTAAAAACCATAATTTTAATTAGAGTTAAGTATAAAATCACTATCATATAATTTACAATAATTTATAATAGAATTTGAATTGGGGTTATATATCTCCAAAAGATTAATTTTGTAAATATTTTTATACTGACAAATGAAAAGTAAAACTTACCATTTATACTAAAGAAAGTCTTTAGAACCAAAAGAAAGAATTATTTCCTAAATCTTGCGTATTAATAAACAAACATTGTGTATACTCACATCTGTGACATTTGACATGGAACATAGATTACATAGCCGTAGTTAAAGGAAATTTTAGATAAAAAATTAAATTATTGAATTATATTAATTAATATATTTACAAATGTGATAATGTGACAAACCCGATATACAATGTTAATTAAAATATTTATTTAAATAGTGGTTAGAGACATAATTTGTAAGTTATATACTAGATAATATTATTAAAAAATAATTATATGAGGGTATTTTTAAGAATTTAGCATAAGAATTAAGTTTAAGAAGTTTTTTTTATTTTGTTTAATATTAGATATTTTTGAGTCAGCATATGCAACCAAACATACACTGTAGTGTCAAAGTCAAAACGTTATTTATTTTTGGAATGTTAATTTAGAATATAATTGTGGATGTAGAATAGTAAAAATATATTTCATATAAATGTTTAAGTTACATATAATAGTGTAGTTCTGATCTGGAGAGCCTAAAGTCAAGTAAATTGTTTATAGAAAATTCTCGAAATGTCAATGGGACTATTTACATAATACATCACAGACAGGAAATCATTCCAGATTGTTCAAATAGAACAAATTGAATGATTCGAACATTATTTATTGCTAGATTACTCTGGAAACAATGAAAAACATATAAAAAGCCATGTAATTTGGAGGAGTTCAGTCAGTTTTGAGTTAGAGTTCAGTTCAAGTCAGTTATGAGTTAGCAGTTTAGTTCAGTTAAGTTCAGTTATCAGTATGATCAGTTATCAGTTAGTAAAGTTATAATTCAAGAATTTAGTTACAAGAAGATTTAGTTACAAGAAGTTAAATACAGTTGGAGATTAATTTTATTACTACAGTAATATAGTGACAGTTTGAAGTTAATTCATTGAAATAAGCATTCAATAATACAACCACAAGATCCAATATATTTCAAAGTACATTATATAGAAATTACAAGGAGTTAAATATATATATTTATATGGTGAGTGGAGATAATTAAGAAGGAACATATTAAAATAGTTGGATAACCAAGGCTTAGTAAGAAAATATCGAGTGGTGATAATAACTTTAATTTTGGAAAAAAATTAGGCGTTCAGTGAAAGAAGGTACCAAATTTTGTTAATAATTTAATAATTGTAAGAATTTCAAATTTTAGATAGATTGTTTTAAATTGATATTGCTTATATTAGATAGATAGGTTTGTTTTATAATAGTTATAATAAAGATAATTTAAATAAGTACTTACAAACTAATTCTTTGAGAACCGCGATAAAAACCCTATACTTACAAATATCATTCAAATTTACTCATTGCTCATACAACAACAACACATCATAACAATATATATATATATATATATATATATATATATATATATATATATAGAGAGAGAGAGAGAAAAAGAGTGAGAGAGAGAGAGAAGAGAGGAGAAGGAAGTGAATAAATAAAAAATAAAAGTTTCGTTTCAAAGAAGTATTTTTGAATGACTAGAAATAACTTTAGATGAAAATAGGCCAATATTTTTGACGGTGACAGCGCCTATATATCAATCAAGAATCTACCCTCAAAGAAGTTTGTTGATTTCATATTTAAAATAAAAACTTTCCTTAATTTATACAGTAAAATAAATTCAATAGTATTAAACTAAGTAAAAATAATATTTCGATTTATATTCTGCTTACAACTGATTCAACTTTAAAATGCTTAAATTTATTTTAGGGAACACGTTCCTCATAGTACCAGTTCATCCAGGACGAGCTCTCACAATTACAGCCCACTTTCAGTCTCCCCACATCAATCTCCAAAAGGTTACACCCTATCATCGGGATATAGTCCTGCTGGATCCGCTCTAATGCCATACTACTCCACAGCTCTTACCCCTATCGACAATAATTATTTTGAAGTTTATGAGTACGACCCAAAACGCAGAGACGAAGATCACAAGGATCTTCACGTTACACAGCAGGTAAGATGTATTAAAACTCCACATTTATTAAAATATACATATATTTTTAAAGGATAGATATAATATCAAACAGAATGTTTAATCACATTTCTTCCTATTTATCTGTAACATATGTTCTAGAAAATTAAAGTATTAGTAGTAAAGAAGCACCTGATATTTTACTAATATGAAAACAAGCAATAGGCAAATAAATATATAAAAAAATACAAAGTATAATGGAAATACAGAAGAAAATACATAACTAATAAATTAGGTCTTGTACGATAATCAGCAATTTTATTTTTTTACTACGCCAAGATTAATCACTGAAAAGTTTACAATTTAACATTTTGAAAATTTTCAAAAATTAAGCCTAATATAGGGTTTTTAAAATAACGGAGTTGTTTATACAGGGTTCGTCAAAAGCAAAAACACGGTCGAATATTTCGCTAAATTTACACAACTACTAAAAAGTAGTTTTAACGAATGCCACAAGATAGGGTGCGTGTCAAGTGACAGCCGTCCCAGGCTAGTGCTGTGTGACATGGGCGATTATCTTGTTTGACGTAAAATGGTGCATTTTATTGTTCGTAATAAACAACAATGTATGTAGCAGTATTAATAATAGTGTTAATGTTGTAAATACAACAAAACAGATTAAGAAATGTTCGGAAGAAAACATGGCCACAGCGGGTGCCGTGGCACCCACGCTAACTTTCGAGAGGGTAACTTTTAAATTTGGATCGTTTACTTCTAGAAACAAATAATCTGTAAACATTTTAGGTACTATTAAATAGACGAGATAATAAAAAGTAAATCTTTTGTAATGAATTAGTCAAAAATTATAAATAAGGTAGATATTTCTAATACGGCCACCGTTGGTATTTTAAAATTGAACGAGTAGATACGAAATTTTGATCGAAGAAAATGATGAGGCAAATAGATTAGGAAGTAGTGATAATATGCATTTACCAGAGGACTTTTATCAATTTTTTTAATATTTGGTAGTACTTGATGTTGTATAGCATATCCACAAATTTAGTGTCTCATTATAAAAGTTATTTTAACAACAGCTGTAAAACTGAATAATCCCTTGTAAATACTCTATTGTTGTGTAATTATCACAGCTATCCAAGCTGACAGGAAAGGCATATAGCCAAGTCAAGTGTAGGTCAGTAGTACATATAATCAGATCAAATATTATCATTCATGCGTAATGTCAAAAAACTCTTTTTATAAACATAAAAATTCCCATAATTATTGTATTCTTATATTAATGATTATTTTAAGTCTCAACGAAATAAAAGCGCCCAAAATTATGAAGATCTCAATTTAGTCAAATTGACTGGACCAGCCGTGGAAAATAATAAGTTTTAGAAAACGGGTAATATCCCAAACAACATATTAGAACTGACAAACCCGTATATACCTGAATAAAGTTTTTATTTCTGAGCCTTCAGAAGTTTGTGGACTGTATTTCTTGTATGAAAAATAATTATTCTGACTGTAGCACTTTTTATTATAATAATCTTATAAAAGCATAAAATTAACAAAAACAAAAAAAGAATGTCTTATTTCTTCTTGACAGCTACGCGTGGTGTCGTTGTCGCTAGTGTTCGATGCATGCGCCCTGTGGTCCGTGCAGGGACGGCTCTTGCACTGTTTACTGCTGAACATGCCGCCCCCCTTGAAAGGCTTAAGTGATGCCTTTCAAACAACGCTTCTTGTAAACCATAACCATTATTGTTCATCCATTGGCAGGACGGCTAACTTTACACAAGGCCTTTTGAATTCACCTTTAGAAGTACGCACAGTCACAACCCGCACAACATTATCTGTCCCAGCATGTAGTTGCAATATTCTACCCAATTCCCATTTAGTAGGAGGAAGACCATCCTCTTGAATAATAACCAATGATCCAATTTCACGTTGTCAGCTGCTGTTCTCCATTTGGTTCGCTGCTGAAGTGAAGAGAGGTACTTACGTGACCAGCGTACCCAAAAACTCTGAATTATCTGAGTCAGGTGATGATACCGTTTCAACTTATTCGGATTTATTTCAGTTAGCTCTTCTTGTGGCAGTGCTACAAGTGGTGCTCCAATTAGAAAATGTCTAGGGGTGAGTACACCAAGGTCTTCTGGACTTTCCGACAGAGGTAATAAAGGACGGGACTTTAGGAGAGACTCAATTTGCGTCAACAAAGTATACATTTCGTCATATGTAAATTTATTATTACACATTACCCTTCGTATATGAAACTTTACCGATTTTACAGCTGATTCCCAGATGCCACCAAAATGGCATGAACTACTTTACAATTCCGTAAATAGCTTGTTTTCAATTCAAAGGGGCCCCCATAATCTACACCACAATTATAAAATGGCCTTGTAGGCAGAAGTCTAGATTTAGGTAAATCTCCCATAAGAGGTACAAGCAATGTAGGTTTGACACGAAAGCAAGTAACACATTTATGCAGAATGTGCCTAACCGTGCTACGTCCAGATAATAACCATAATTTTAAACGAATTATTGATAGCAATCCTTGTGGACCTGCATGCAAGTATTTATGATGATACGATATCACTATAAGTTTAGTTAATACATGGCCGTTCGGGAGTATGATTGGATGCTTCTGGTCAAAAGACAATTCTGACTTTTGAAGACGTCCACCAACTCGTAATAGTCCTTTATCATCAAGAAAAGGATTTATTGATAAGATTTTACTCGATTTATGTATTGGTTTTGATTTTTTTATTGTTTGTATTTCCTGATGAAATACTTCATTTTGTGCCATGTATACCAAACAGAAAAAACTTCTTTCTTTTTCATCTACAGTAAAAGGACCCGTTGTCTTATTATTAGATGATTTACAATTGGTGACAAACCGAAGTATATATGGAAAAACACGCTGCAATTTAGCTAAGCTCGAAAATCGGTTCCAAATTTCAGCAAATTGCACAGTTGATATAAATGTTTGAATTACTTTCTGGTCAGGTATGATAGAAATGTATGAATTTGACAAAGCCTTAGTAGGCCAAGACAATTTATGAGAAGCTAACCATGGTGGCCCATTCCACCACAATTTTGAAGAGTTTAATAACTTTAGTTCATATCCGCGCGTAATTATGTCGGCTGGGTTATCATGCGAGTCAACATGATGCCAGCTATATCCATTAGAAAGCCTTTGTATTTCCGACACCCTATTTCCAACGAAGGTTTTCCATTGTGACGGTTCACCCAAAATCCAATAAGGAGTTATCATTGAATCAGACCAAAAATGTACCTCATCAAAGCTAACACCTATTGTTGCGATAACCTCCGATGCCAATTTGGCAGCCAATAAATCACCACACAATTCCAATCTAGGCAAAGATATTGTTTTTAAGGGTGCTACCCTTGATTTCGTACATAATAAATGAACTAAGCAAGAACCACCTTGATCCAGTGACCGAATGTAGAGTGCTGCGCCATAAACAGACTCTGAAGCGTCACTGAAACAATGTAATTGTCTATTAATTGGATTAGAACACAAAACTTGCCTGCTAATGTGAGTTTTCTCCAAATCTGCAATTGATTCCCTAAACTGGTTCCAAGCTGTGTGTAAATCTAAAGGTAAAGACTCATCCCAATTTGCATTATTAATTTAGCTTTAATTATAACTGGCCCTACTAGTCCAAGAGGATCAAATATCTGTGAAACTAAAGACAGAACTGTTCTTTTGCTAACCTTTGTGTAATTAGAAAAATTGATTTTATATTGAAGCGAATCTATCTTTGAGTTCCAATAAAGCCCTAATGTTTTTGTTGTAACATCATCTGCAAGATAATGTTCAATGTCTCCCTTTATTTGAATATCCTCATCAAAAATTTCAGGTTTGTTTGATACCCATTTTCTAAGTGAAAATCCTGCTGTGCACAAAATATTATTTAATTCATCCTTTAATGATTTTACTTCTTCAATTGAACTCCCCCCTGTAAGCAAATCATCAACATAAAAATCCTTTAAAATCACCTGGGAAGCTAGAGGCAGGTTCAATTGATTCTCATGAACTATTTGTTGTAAGCTTCTTATAGCCAAAAATGCTGCTGAAGCGGTCCCATATGTTAGCGTTTTCAGCTTGTATGTCTCAACTGGTTGCTCATCCGAAAACCTCCATAATATTTGTTGTAGTTTTTGCTGAGTTTTGCTAACAAAAACCTGTCGATACATCTTTTCGATGTCTGAAGCTATAACTACATTATGTTTCCGAAAACGAAGAAGAATGCACATTAAATCATCTTGTAATTTTGGTCCGACCATTAGAACATCATTTAATGACAAACCACTGTCAGTTCTAGCTGACCCATCAAATACTACCCTTAATTTTGTAGTTAAAGACGTTTCCTTAAAAACTCCATGATGTGGAAGATAGTAGTTGAATGTTTCTGAATTGAAGTCAGTTTTATCTTCAATCTTTGACATGTGACCCAACTGGATATATTCCTGCATAAACTCATTGTATTTAATTTTCATTTTCAAATTTTTATTTAATTTATTTTCCAATAATTGAAATCTTTTTAGTGCATTACTATAAGAATCTCCTAAGTCAGAAATGTTTGACCTTGTTGGTAATTTAACAACAAAATGACCGTTTTCATTTTTAATCGTGCTAGCTTCAAACAACTCTTGACAATAAATGTCCTCCTTGGACATAACCTTTTTTGCACCAAATTCTTCTATTAACCAAAATTTTTCAATTTGGTTTTCCAAAACATTAGACGAAAAATTACATACCACTGAATTGTTGCTAACCTTAATTGATTGACTAACTGGCCCTGAAATAACCCATCCCAACTTAGTTTTTTGGAGAATTGGTTGATCTTTGCCAAGTTTTATCTGACCCAAACATAATAATTGCCAAAAAACTGATGCTCCCAGTAATACATCAATTTGTTTTGAAACCCCAAATGTTTCATCTGCAAGTACAATGTTTTTAGGAATATTTATAAAATCCAAGTTTAAATCCGAAGTTGGTAAATTGT